GTACTGGTGTTGATTTGCACTCTGGAAAAGAAACAAACTCACCTAGTTTGTACTTCAAAACAAAAAAATATTTATTCAGCCAAACTGTATTAGGGATGGGTGAAAGAATGATCTCTTGGGATGAGATAAGGATGTTCTACTTCCAATGTACATGTGTGAGATCATCAGTTCACTTGTAAGAGGTGATCATCTTTCGTTTGCCAGCTGGAGAAGCATACATGGGATTTGAGCTGCAGTGGAACGCCAGAACTGAGCCTCTCAAGCTTTGAAACAGTTCAGATTCATGCACAAACTTTGTGGCACTGATTTTTTTTTTCTTTTTTTTTTTTCCCAGATGTCTGTAAGCTTACAAAAATCAAAGATTTTTTGATTATTTATCTAAACTATGCCTGTATGTGACCTGTTTCCAAAAAGAATCATATGAAATGTATTGTCAAATGTGAAAGTCTGGTCATACAAAGTACTAACTTTGCAAAACTATCAGCTCTTTCATCTGMCCCTTTCCCCTTCACCTCATTTTGATTTTAGAAAGAGTTTGTCTTCAGAGAACTGCCATGTAAATTGACAGTGAAACTGGACACTTGCTTAAATATCTTAACATGTACTCATGGTTCAGTGTCTTAAATTAAGTCTGAAACTGTTTGGCTCCTGCAGTTTTAYCAGTCAGTTTTTTACAGAGTTCTGTAAAATATTGAACATATGAATGTGTTGTGTAAATACAGTTTGAGTCAATAAAAACAGTACTTTTCTGAACAAAACTTGCCCTTTTTTCTGGTTCCTTGGTATAGAATTCAGAACAATACAAAACTGTTAAAACAGGGTAACAGGGTTGTGCTCACAAATGCCAAAACCAGCAGCCAAAACCAAAGGAGATAAATCAGATTATCAGAGTTTCATGCTGATTTGCTTAACCTAAAGCTATGGGGATTTCCCCCTGCTTAGCTGAATACAGTTGTCTTAGTAATCTGCTTCGGCTTGTCTGTTGTGCTAAGGATTCATTAGTTGGAGAATTGAGCTGTTCAAAAATTATTGGCTGTCTCCCCATCCCAGCAGAAGACAGGGAAGCATGGTTAGAGGGTGGAGTGGTGGTTARGTGGGGAAGGAAAGTGAACCAAGCTTCTCTGCTGGACCAAGAATCCTTTAAGGGTGATGAGTCAGAGGGCAGGTTAAAGGGATAACTTGTGACTGATTCCATCTGTATGTTGCAACATACTGGAAAGCAGTAGGATGACAAAGGAAAACATTTGTCTTGACTGTTTCAACCCTTGGTTCTAAAGTTATTTGAGTTAAATTATTTATGAAAATTATTCTTTTGGATTTGCTTTTTCTTCGTGACAGAACTTTATCTGTGATGTTACCTGGCTTTCCAATGAAGGAGAATGAGGGGAAAAAGGGCAAATATAGCTATTTTGGGTAGAATTACTGGGAGTTTTTAGTTGTTAAACATTTCGGTTTATCCCTATTGAGTTTGTTGAAGAATGAATGATAAACAGGAAAGGAGACTGAAAAAACTAAACTTCACTTTCTTAATTAATGGAGTAAAAGTTTACGATGATTTATTGCAATAGTAAAATTCTTCTATAAAACTCAGATCTTGTACACATGATAAAGCAGTGACTGATTTCTGTGCTTATGCTCTGGTGTGGTATCTTACACGAATTCTGCATTAATGYCTTGTTTGTTCTTTTCTCACCCCTCAGTTTAGCTGAAGACTTCTTGCCTGGGATATTCCTCAATATAACTTGGGCTATTCCTCAATAACCTGACTTCATAACGGCATTGCCAGACTGAAATTGTCTCCTCTCCAGGAGATGATTTTTCTTACTCCCTGTTTGTGTCTGCTTATAAATTCCAATCTTTGTTTAGTTGCAGCATGCAATTAGTAAGTGTATGATGATGGCCTCTTCTTTACCTTTGTTGCTGTTTTAGAGCGTTAACTTGCTTGCTTAGCCTTACATCAGTACATCTCAGTATTTTGTGCCATTGCTGCACAAGGCCCTGGTAGCTGAAGCAACACTGGTCAATGTGCTCACAATAAAAATTAATCCAGCATTATTGGCAGCCACAGCACAGACTAAGCTTGATTTTCGTGATTTATGTTCAACCACCATCCTAAATTTGGGAGTTGAAGGAGGCTAGCAATCCTTTTCAAAGAAGCAGGTTGCCTAAACAGGTTGTTTTGCTGTTTTTCCATATCTTGTTTTGATTCCGAAATCCCAAAGTCTGGCTTGTCCTGGCAGCCTACTGCTAGGTATTGCTCTGTGGCCAGGTACAAAGCAGATAAAAAAGAGAAAAAGATAGTGGGCCAGGCAAAGAAATATAAGGTGCCAAAGACTAGGTTGAAAAACTAGAGGGGTAATGAAAAACACACCGGTGAGGAATGTGAGAAGAGTAACAGCCAGGTGGGACTCAACATGGAGATTTCAAAATAAGAGAGAAGCTTCCAAGAAAAAAGGAGGAAGTTATTTGAAAGGAAGTGCAACCAAAGGAATTGTTCTCTAAACTTGCTACTGAAACCATTTCCAGTTGTGTCTCAGGAAAGGAAGATGATTASAGTTGGTTGCCTGAAAAGGAACAGGAAGCATTTGTGCTTCCCGGGGCTCTGTTGCTGCTTATACACAAGCTGGTCCTYGGATGATCCTGCTACTACAGGTTCYTGGGTTCATTATGGTCGAATGGGTTTCTCCCTGCTAAGATCAGATGGAAGATTTGTCTCTTTTTTTTCTAAAGAGGACATTAGTTTGCCTCTTCCGCCTCCACACATTCTAAAAATTCACATCAAACACTTGCAAGTAAACACCTGTGAAAGAATGGGTGAGTCAAAGCAGGATTGTTGTCAAGTCTGGATTCCACAGCCTCAGAGTCTACATTCTGCATTTTGAGCCAAGGGTATGAAATGCATTAAGGAACAGGTTTGTTCACAAGTGAATAAATCAATTATTTAGGAATGCCAAGATTTCTGGCATTTTCAAAGTGTTAACTTTTTTTTTCCCCACAGTAATACCAGAATTTATGGCTTGGACCTAGTTTTGAAATCAGTGTTACAACAAAATGCAGTTTCACACACTGTAAGGTGGTTTAATTTCATTGAGCAGACTATGCTAGTGCTTTAATTGTAAAGCCTGTGCCACAGCCGTGTGATGGCAGGCTCTGAGCCTGTAAAGCATTCTCCTCCCTTTCAMAGCAAACAGTCAACCATTTGCAAAGAATCAAACTTTGAAGTTTAGTGACTTTATTCCCAATGGATTTTGCTTTGTATTGTACTGCACATTAATTTCYCTTTAATGCATATTGTGTTTTAACTCCATCGCATGTTGTGATTAATACATAGCCACATCTCACATTTATGAAATGCATRTTTAAACGTGCTCTATGGCTATTTATAAGTCCTTCAGGCAGCACTGGACATTACAAAGAACGTGGCCTCTGTGAATTTGCTGACTTGTCTATGATCCTTCTAAAGACAATCAGCCAGGCCTTCCCAAGCTCTGCCTCTGTGCCAAAGCCAGTCTGGTTGGCATGTTCCAGCAACTGTCTCAACCTCTGAATTCACTTTCTGTGAAAAACCTGTACTTGATTAAAGCTAKTTTACTTTCATTTCTGTGTAGAATAGAATTGGGCAGACTTCTGGTTATGTGATTAAGTTTCCTGGTTCTTGTACTTCCTGAAGTACTGTCTCATTCTCTGAATCCCAAACTAAGCGTCATCTTGTCAGGAGCAACAGACCTTTGGAAATTTCACTATGTTTGTGAAGTGCCTTTTTAAGTATTGAGCAACACTTTTGCTTGGAAAGTGCTTTTGAAGGCAAGAAGAAAAAGCAAGAGTTCCTGAAACATTTAAAGTTTGGCTTTCCAGAGGTTTTCTCCTTTGTTTGCTTGCTTTGTTGCTTAGAAACTGGCCTAAATAAGAGACTCCATGTAGACAGAGTGTTCTGTGGTAAAGGCTCTCTAATGGAGAAGGGCTGTTTAATTGATATGAGCAGAAACATAAAGCATGCACGGAGAGCAAATGCCCAGCAGACATTTGGTCAGCTGGCTTAGGCAGAGACCTTTCTGGCTTGGCTTTAGTGGCAGCAGATAAACCTGTTGTTCATCTTTCATTTTGCCAACTGWTTTGAGTATTGTGGATAAATGCTCTTGTACTTTATCTGTCCAGTTGTTTTAACCTGTCTTGGTAGCAAGATATGCACARCATCTCTAGGTGTGCTGAACTTACAAACCTAGGCAGATCTGTTGGCRCACAGCCTGTGTCCCTTCTCCCACTGTGATCTGTGGAGTATCTGGATTTGAGCTACATGGGCTGGGTGAAATAGAGTTAGGAATAACATCAGCAGCTGCTGATAGCCAGGAAGACAGAGGAYCAGCAAGATATTGGGCTGCTGCTTTAAACCCCAGGGATCTATGAAGAACACATCACAAATGGAGAGATTTTATATATCATCTGTGATCATTTTGAAGCAGCAAGTGATGAAGTCACATCACACAAATCCATCCTCTGGCCTGCAGYTCACTGGATATTTATGTAGCATTGACTGCCCAGAACACTTCTTCTTGAGAGGATACCATTCATTTTTATTTTATTTTTAGAGGACTGGAATCAAATATGACTGTTAATAGTTACTGTACAGAATATCTAAGAACTTTTTCTTTTATTAYGGATAAATTTTGGTTTTGGCAGTTCAATATTGTACATTTGGTACAGAATGAATACTTCAAACCCACAAGATTTTCTTACTCATAATTGGATGAAAATAGTGCAGCTCTATTTTGTAGATTTTCATGCCTATTTTACATCTTCTACAACTTTAGGRTTGACAACCCTAAAGAAAAAAGATCCCAAACTTGCAACCTCTGTGTTCAGACTCTTAGGCCAAAGTCTTAACTGAATAGCTTACATTTATCTCATGAATAGAAATGGCCTGATTTCCAGAAATGCTGAATATTCTYAGTGATCTCAATGTATTCTGAAAAGCATTTGTAACATCTGAAATGCATGCTCYCTTCTTTTTTTTTTTTTTTTAAACATAAGTATGGGTTTACAAGCCTAACATCAGAAATCCAGATTTGAGAATTTGGCCTGGAAAAATAACACACTTAATTTTTTTATTCATTGATCTCTTCTTCATCATCTTCAAACGCTTCCTCTCCATCATTTGCTGTTGCTTCTTGGTATTGCTGATACTCTGACACCAGGTCATTCATGTTGCTTTCTGCTTCTGAAAAYTCCATTTCATCCATTCCCTCTCCAGTGAACCAGTGGAGGAAGGCCTTTCTCCTGAACATGGCSGAAAACTGCTCCGAAATCCTTTTGAAGAGCTCTTGGATAGCAGTGCTGTTGCCAATAAAGGTGGAGGCCATCTTGAGGCCACGGGGAGGTATGTCACACACTGCCACCTTGACGTTGTTGGGGATCCACTCCACGAAGTAGCTGCTCTTCTTGTTCTGGATGGCCAGCATCTGCTCGTCGACCTCCTTCATGGACATGGGGCCGCGGAAGACGGTGGCCACCGTCAAATACCGGCCGTGCCTTGGGTCACAGGCTGCCATCATGTTTTTGGCATCGAACATCTGCTGGGTGAGCTCTGGGACTGTGAGTGCTCGGTATTGTTGGCTGCCTCGGGCCGTCAAAGGAGCAAAGCCTGGCATGAAAAAGTGAAGGCGCGGGAAGGGGACCATATTTACCGCCAGCTTCCGGAGGTCAGCATTGAGTTGGCCTGGAAAACGCAGGGATGTGGTTACCCCGCTCATGGTGGCGGAAACCAAGTGGTTTAAATCACCGTATGTCGGAGTGGTGAGCTTCAGGGTGCGGAAGCAAATGTCATACAGAGCTTCGTTGTCGATGCAGTAGGTTTCATCTGTGTTTTCRAGCAGCTGGTGGACTGAAAGCGTAGCGTTGTAAGGCTCCACCACAGTGTCAGAAACCTTAGGAGAAGGCATGACACTGAAGGTATTCATTATCCTGTCTGGATATTCCTCTCGGATCTTGCTGATGAGTAGGGTTCCCATGCCAGACCCTGTCCCTCCTCCCAGGGAGTGAGTGAGCTGGAAGCCTTGCAAGCAATCGCAGTGTTCACTCTCTTTTCTTACTACATCAAGTACAGAGTCAACCAACTCTGCCCCTTCTGTGTAGTGTCCTTTAGCCCAGTTGTTTCCTGCACCAGTTTGTCCTAAAATAAGATACATCAGGGAAAGAAAATATACAAAATTATTGGCAGGGTTCGAYATTTGCACACTAAATGGACTCACATCTGTAACAAAAGCTGCTATAAATCTGTCAGGTAGGTAATGGTGCTAAATTTGTAGTTTTGCCTACAAACATCTCTGGCAGTATAAACACAAACATTCATATAGCTTCTGGCAGTTTTTAGTAATGTCTTTGGGTGTTTTTTTGTTTGGTTGGGTTTTCTTTGGGGGGTCGGGTTTTTTTGGGTCTTTTTTTTTTGTTTGTTTTGTTGGGGGGTTTTTGTAGTTTTGTTTCAGATTTTTGTAGTTTTACTTTCCACAAGTGCAAAGATGGCCTTGACTCCTTGTTTTGAAAACTTTCACACTTCTAATCCTGACTGTTCTGGGAACACAAGATGGCTGTTTAATACTTAAATATTTTCTGTCTGTCATGATCACAACGCATGCAAAGCTAAATCACAGATACATATATCTCAGTGAAAATGATTCTTGGACTGTTGTTGTGAGTCACAGAGACAACACTCATTCAAGAATAAAGGTGGGCTTCACAATCCTATTTAACTTTTTATATCAGGAACTATTCCTTTTTAAWTTCATGGTTACCTAGCCTGAATGAAAATAATGATCAATAGAAGCTTCAGGGACATTATTTCAAAARYTTGGAAGTTRGGTRCCTTTTARGTTTTACYGATYTCCTTACAAATTCACTGTGTTTCARGATATGCAAYRCGTCCTGCAAAATTGGATTACTGATATTTCAGAAAAGTGATGAGCCCCTTCTATTCTCCCCAARGCTTCCAATTCTTTGTGCCTCTCAGTTTATTAAGATAAACAGTGTGGATCATTTGCTATGTCACTGTTTTGTTATTGCTCAGACAACAAGGAGGATTAAATTGGGGAATCAGTTATTTAGTACTCCTGTTTCTCATAGTTGGTATTATATACGTACATTGTGCCACTGAATTCACTTAGGGTACTCCAGTGAGTGGTATTCAGAAAGAGCAMTAGTTTCAGAATTAAGTATAGAGCTGGCAAATTCTGTGTTGTTCCCCAAGACCTTCCCCTCCCTTCCTATTACAGTGTCTCAATTCAATTCCCAGGGTGCTGTGTTGATGCCAAATATATGAACCAGGGAAACTGCTGGCTGGGACACTTTTGAAATACTATACACATTATTTTCACTGCATAAATGCTTGGTTTCCTCATGGTGTATTTGGTTAGTTAATGCATTGTTCAGTATGTTGCTATATTTTTCCCTCTTTGAGCCTAGGGAGCTCAGCACTTCCTGTCCAGCTGGGCAAAGCACAAAGTAATATCCTTCCAGAATGAAATATGTTTGTAAGCACCTGCAGTCTGCTTGAGCAGATCCCCTGCTACGAATGGTGAAGCACATCAGAAYGCACACACACAAGCAGACATCATTCCAAACTGCAGAAGGCATTTATCTCCTAATGGAGATAAATTCTGATTTTAAGACAACTATCAGCTACTCCTGTGGCAGCACTATACTTCATCCACTAGTCACCTATTTGCCTAGGGCGTCCAACATTTTCATAGAAGATTTCCTGCTTCTATATYCAGTTATCTTATAGTTCCAGAACCACTGGCTCTGCAGCACTGTAAGRCTACCACCATCACACAGAACATGTACAACATGCCCTGGAAACTCCAGACTTCTTACCCATGACAATACAGTGCAGTCTGGAGCTGCCATGGCTCTGCCAAGGCTGCCACAAACCTGGAAATCATGGTCATGATCCTGTGGAACTCTACTGGATGCCTTCCACTTATTGGGTACCTACCTACCTGACCTCTGAAAATGTAAGGCATTTAGAAATTACCAAAGGCATAGAAATTACCAAATTCCAGGACTAAACTCTCTAGGTGGAAAACCAGCCTGTGCCTACAAAACTCAGGACCCAGCAAATCATTTGGCAATCCTTGAAGCTCTGTGTTATACGTAGCCCATCTCCAGCATTCTGCCTCTGTCATTTCTCACTKTGCATTTGCCAGGATCTAAAGGAGCCTACACGATGCAATCCCACAACTTATCTGCACTCTTGACACCTCCAGATCCTTCCATCACTATTTCTTTCTCCAACATGCTGTAGGGTTATCACATATGTTCAAGTTGAGCTGCACATGCAGAGAAGCCATTTATCTCACAGTCAATGTATTTTTTAATCCCTAAAATGGCACTTGTTTCCTACAAYCTTCTTTCACTCCTCTACTATTTTCACTGCTCAAAATATAACATAAACCTGATAAGAGAKATCAGTAGCTTGCACATTAACACTTAAATGCCTGGTATGAACAGCTCTGCTGAACTTGCCTTTCATTGCCAGACAGCTATTTTGRGTTGCCCCCATCACTTCATTCAAAYTAAACTGGAGTGRTATCTCTGTAGCAAATCTAGCAAGGGTGTACACAAGAAAAGAATGACAAATGCAATTATGTACAAATGAAAGCTGGTTAACAGGACACATCAGAGTTCACAGCAGCTCCTGGTGGGCAATTGTGCGCTGTTAGAAGGCCAGGAGGCCTGCTGCTCTCATAAAGCAAGATCATTCCATGTGTTTCTTTGCCTTTTAGATCACTACCATGTCAGCACAGGTATTAAAGTACAAGGATTGTTTTGTGTCCATCTCAAATCTCTTGCTGGTCAGAGACAAAAAACTCCTGTATCTGCAATGACCATGTACTCAGTACACCTGCATGGAATGCTGATTGCTGGTCCATGGTTACATGCTGTGGAGACAGGGGCATGCACAGGTTTATACAAGAAGAGGTAGAAAACATCCCCATCAGAACGAGCCCGTACAGCCTGGGGTACTGCAAGTATGGGACTGCCAGCTTCTGCCACAAAATCCATTGTGGGTCTGGGCCAGATTTTTAAAAGAGAAAACAAAATGCTTTGTTGGCTTTTGACACAGAAGATCATTACTTCAGCGCTCAGCCATTCTACATTATTCAGCAGGTTGGGAGGACAGTGCCTGATGCTGGCAGGGGCCTCTGTCAGATAGGAGTYGATCACATGCTGTTGGTTCATTGTTATCTTGGCAGGAAGGGAGTACAGTGAACTGAACTATTGTTGAAGACATTCTGAATTGATTTTGCTCTGGTTTTACTGGTGGTGTGCCAAACTGTAAAGCTCCGGTTCAGGTATTTCCATAGGTCAGGTGATTTCACATTCAGAGGGCTTGTGTGGTTCATGCAGGTGAAAGGGAATGAAAGGAAAAACCTGAATACAGAAACAGACTTCATAAAGCTGCCTATATCTGTGGCTTCTCTCCCTAAGCTTACTTCTACATRTTGTAACTTACAAGTCCTTTGGAAGAGACTCTTAACATCACTGCCACGGAGTTTACAGAACAACACAGATWGCATGAAAGTTTTAAGTCAAAGACTTAAAGGAGCTCTGTATGGCTTTTTTTTTACTCCTCATTCCAACCCCAACAACCCAGACTTAAGTTTGTTTTATACCACCCAAATAATGTTTATCTTTTCTCTGTCTGTCCCTGGCATTGTTCCCTCCTTATGTTAACACGACATACCAAACTAAGTTCCAACCTAAGCTTGCCTTGTCAGGAGGAAATGTGTTTGTGGCTAGTGCAGACTTGGAAACCAARGGGACATGAAAGTTCTCATGGTAGCTTTCATTCAGACTTCCTGTTTCAGCAAGTGGCTCATTTAACTTCCACGTGGCTGATTCTCCTTTACTGCAATGAGACTGATAATGTTYCTGTACCTCATAAGGATGCTCTGAAAGGGTAATGTGCATTTTTAAGCTTAGTCAGAAACTACAACAGAAGTCCAAAGTAAAGCAGTAAAAGCAAAAACAGCCCTCTGTAAGAAAGCTGTGAAACCAGAATATCTACACATACTCTCAGACTGTTCTTCATTATGCTAGAAAATAACCCAGTAACTGGCTGTATTCTACAGTGTTTTCCATATTACAGCTGGTCTCCTTCCACTGTTACTACAGTGTAAGGATCTGCTGAAAAAGTTTAATTACGCAGCCTAAAAACAATTCAGTGCTCAAGCATTTAATGTGAATTCAAGTGAAGAGTAGTCTGGTTGGTTTGTGGTTGAGGTTTTCCCTCCTCCCTCCATTTGCTGCAGAATATCTGTGCATTTTGTTGTGAAGAACTGGCCTCAGGRTTTCTCTKGAGTTCATATATGTGGAAAGCAAATGTACTTTATCTGAGTACCATAGGAAACTTTCAGTTTTTTTAGCAGTTTTCTAACTGAAGGAATGATTAACAGAAGAGTGATTTTTTCASTTAATGGGATCTTTTGACTGACTTWYASATAATCACAATTCCATTGTTAGCTATTAGGATKTCTCAGTAGGATCACTTTGGAACAGGGAGATTAAATGCTTTTTGACCATTCACTTGGTAAKCAAACAGATGTTGAAGAGCTTTGTTTTTTAAAAAGAAACATCCACATACCGAAGATGAAATTATCAGGCCGAAAGAGCTGACCAAAAAGACCAGAGCGCACACTATCCATGGTTCCCGGCTCCAAGTCCAGTAAGACTGCTCTTGGYACAAATTTGTGGGCTACAATAAAAAATAAGCATGCCCTTAGTGTTCTGAAATAAGCACAGTTATTGCACTTAATACACAAATATGTCTCATATTGTTAGTGTAATATATAGTTCACACACGTATAAGTACTTCCTATACATCAAGTCACGGCAGTGAAAAACCCAGCTCCAGAGGAACAAATCAATTCAGCTTGAAAATCAGACCTGATATAATTTGGGTTCTATGGACTTTACATTTTTGTAAACTCTTCATTAGCAACAGATATGAGGGAGGGAAGTTTCTGATTAAAAAATATTGTTTACTTTTCCTTTGTAAGAAAGGAGGTAATCTTTTCTGTAAATCTCAGGGTGAATAAAGTGCTTATGTTCAGATGATCCTAATACATCTTACAAGCTTTTATGCTTGCAGGATTCTTCTCCACTGGAAGAGTTACTTGGTGTACATGGCAAACAGTAGTAGTCAGCAGATCTACCACAAAGCMCAAAATAAACAATCTGTGTCGAGCTGAACTTGTTCAAGAAACTCAGGTAAATAATATGAATTAACCCCAGCTGGACAAAAGATGAAACATTCACACTTGCAGGTTCATGTCAACAAACTAACAGTTGTACACYTAACACCTTTTAACACCAGATGGACTAAGAGGACTTGGGTGCCTTTTGCCATCTTATTAATGAATCACTGCWCTGTTCTCTATTACCTGTGGCCCAACCCTCTCATTCATGAGCATTAGAGACAGAATACTATAGATGTGGGCTCATATAACAACAGTTCAATTTGGAATAATTGAACAGATTCATCTGCTGAAGTAATCACACATTAGAAGAGCAAASACCTACTGTAACATCAAATAACTAAAAAACCTCCACTCCAGACCCTTAGTACAGCCCCTTGTGTCACTTCTCTGACTGTGGGGAGATAGCACCCAGCTATCTTAATACTTTTAAACAAAGTAGATAATATTTTCTGTGTATAATGGTTGAACTGGGGACAGCTGAGGGGTCGATGGTGTGTGAGGAAGAAGTGTGGCCAGATGTGCAATATTGCTTTACGAGCCCGTCCTCTTCTGATTCCTGTGCCCCTTCCCACGGAGTTCCCTGTCCCGCACCCCTCTCCGTCCCRCACTTACAAGATGATTCATTATAGTAGACATTGATCCTTTCCAGCTGCAGCGGTGAGTCACCCACATAGCCTCCGGCTGGGTCAATGCCATGCTCATCACTTATCACTTCCCAAAACTAAGGGAGGAAAAGGGAGAAGTGGGTTGGGAGCTTCCCCGCGGAGCACCGGGGCCCCTGCCCAGGGCCGGCCCGGGGGCGGCGGCGGTCCCGCGGCAGCTGCCGGATTCCTGGCGTGCCCGCCGCCCCTCCCTGCGCGGGCGGCAGCGGGATCCGGGCGGGCACCGGGATTCAAACCCAACGGACGAGCGGCGCCCGCGCAGCTCCGCGCCCCGACTCTGCCGCCCTCCCCCGCTGCTGAACCGCAGCCTGCCCGGCTCCAACATAAAAATAGGTTTTAAAATATTTTTTTTTTAAGCTGTCCCGTTTGGTTTCGGTACTTCCAAAGCCTTTTATGGTCACGGGGAGCGGCGCGATGCGCGGTGCTCCGGGCGCGCCCGGCGCCGCTCGGCAGCGGCTCGTCGGGGCACGGGCGGCCGGCACTGGCCGGGCCCGGGGGTCCAGGAGCCCCCGGGAGTCCCACAGCACCGGGGAACCACAGGGCGTGTCCCCCGGGAGCTCAGAGGCTCCGCAAGCGGCGGGCAGGCAGGCAGCGGCTCCCCTTCAGGCTCACCTTGGTCCCGATCTGGTTTCCACACTGTCCCGCCTGGATGTGCACGATCTCCCTCATGGCTGCGCCCCCGCTCGCCCCGCCGTGAGCCCGCTGTCCCGCCGCCCAGCCCGGCTGTGCGCGGTGCCGTCCCACCGGGCGGTGCTTTATGGGCTCCCGCACCCCCCCGCCGCTCGCCCAGCGGCCGCCCCCGCCCGGCACCGCCCTCGGGACAGGGGGGCGACACCGCCCGCTGCGCGACACCAACCCTCGCATTGTCCCCGCCGGCAGCGGGGGTCCCTGGGGGTCCTCCTGCCCCGTCCGTGATCTGCTGCTCACCCCAAACCCAGTTCGGCAAACCTGGCTCCCTCATCCTCACCGCCCGCGAACCCTCGCCGTGTGGGGCCGGACACCGTCGCTTCTCCTTCTCCTGTTCCTTGTCCCGCTGTCCCRACGGAGGGGGAGATCGCAGCCTTTGCTGCAGGATTCTTCTTAGGTAGAATTTCTTCACAGAAAGGGTGATGAGACGTTGGAACAGGCTGCCCAGGGAGCAGTGGAGCTCCTGGAGGTGTTTAAGGAAAGACTGGACAGGACACTTAATGCCGGGGTCTGGGTGACATGGTAGTATTCAGTCATGGGTTGGATTCGATGACCTCAGGTCTTTTCCGACCTAACTGATCCGGTGATTCTGTAATTCTGTGAAGAGGCAGCGTCCAAAGGAATGGGTAGCTCTTCTCTGTGACTTGCCAAAGGCCACCCTCTTCACACTGCTTTCCGGGTTTTGGTTTAGTTTTTTTGTTTGTTTGTTTGGATTTTTGTTGTTGTTGTTTGTGTTTTTGTTTGTTTT